AACTTATAAACATGTATCGATACATAAAGTTTCCAAATATAAAGTTTCCAACACAGTGTCGATACATTTATTAAACGTATCGATCCTAAAAACATCGAAACATATTATTATAAAGTAATAGCTAAAATATACTGGTTTAATGAGAAAAAATGTAAACAAAAGTGTCGATACATTTATTAAAAGTATCGATCCCAAAAATATCGAAACATATTATTATAATGTAATAGGTAAATTTCCAATGTAACCGGTAGAAATATACCGGTTAATTAGAAAACATGACTACATAATGTATCGACACTTTTTAAATTTATGTCGATACTTTTTATCCAGAATGAATGTCAAACGGGGTGCACGCATAAAGTGTCGATACATTTATTAAAAGTATCGATCCCAAAAACATTGAAACAGATAATTATAATGTAATAGGTAAATTTCCAATGTAACCGGTAGAAATATACCTATTTTATGAGAGAATAAGTCAACATAATATATCAACACTTTTTAAATTTGTGTCGATACATTTTGTCCAGAATAAATGCCAAACGCTGTGCACACATAAAGTGTCGATACATTTATTAACAATATCGATCTCAAAAACATCGAAACCGATAATTACAATGTAATAGGTAAATTTACAATATACCCAGTAGAAATATACCGATTTTATGAGAAAATACGTCTACATAATGTATCGACACGCATAAAATGTCGATACATTTAAAATTGTATCGATCCCGAAAACATCGAAACCGATAATTATAATGTAATACGTAAATTTGTAATGTTATTGGTATAAATATACCGGTTTAGTTAAAAAATAAGTCAATATAAGCGCTACCTAATATGTTATTGTACTTGATAATATTTTCGGTTAAATGCCTATTTTATTATATAAACGCTATCTATTGCATTATATAAGCGCTACCTAATATATTATTGTACTTAATAATATTTCTGGTTAAATGATATAACATAACCGGTCTAAATTTTAATTGGTCACTTGTTTAATCAGTCACGTCATTTTTTAACCGTTTTTTAACTGTCGCACAACAGAACTTCCGATGTCGCGTACCATAATGTATATTTGATGTCTTGAGTCAGAATATCAAAGAGAGAAGGGGTATATCAGGGACTTTACTGAATCTCTTCTTTTCTTGCAACTTTGGCATGCCATGAATTCCATGCTTCCATGTAATGAGCAAAAAGGTCACCAAGAACTGCAATAACATAGACAAAACGATATCATACAGTTATAATGCCATTGTAATATGAAATACTAGAGATCTATCAACCACATCGTAACCTCTATAGATATTCACGTCGGATCGAGTCAAATTTTAATACATTTAAATTTAATTTGACCTAAAATTAATATTTTCTTCTTATATTCGATTTGGTCTTGATTTAAGAATGTCTCACTCAATCCAAAATCTAACTCGATATTTTATTAGATAAAATAAGAATTTAATTGAAAAAATTAATTGCATCATGTGTCCCTAAACTATATGTCTTATTTCAAATTAGTTCTTAAACTTTCAAATGTTTCAATTTAATCCTTATAATATGACTATTATTCCAAATTAGTCTTCAAACTTTTGAAAATTTCAATTTCATCCCCAAACTATGACCTTCATTCTAAATTGGTCCCCAAACTTTTTTGAACATTCCAATTTATCCCAAACTATACATATATACTAATCACACCCCTTGTTAATAATATCGTTAGACCAAGTTATATTATTATATGTTTGAAAAGAACAAAATTTAGGCTAAACTATGGTGGAAACTAATTATATATTTGGATGAATTTAGGGATGAAATTGGAAGATTAAAAAAATTGGGACCAATTTAGAAAGAGGATCATAGTTTAGGGATGAAATTAGAATGTTCAAAAGTTTAAGGATTTATTTAAAATGAGAGTCATGGTTTGGGGATGAAATTGGAATATTCAAAAGTTTAAGGACTAATTTAAAGTGAGGGTTATAGTTTGGGGACATATGATTTATTTAACTTGAAAAAAATAATATAAAATAAAAAATTATTACAATTATCTTCAAATATATAATGGATAGTTATTTAAGCTATTTTTTCAGGAAAAAATGGAGTATGGAAGCTAAAGTAGAATTACATATACCCTTAGGGGGTGTTTGGTTCAAGGATTGTGGGATTCCCATGGGATGGGAATCCCACATTCCCATATTTGGTTGGCCGGGAATCTCATTCTCGGTAATGTTTTATTACCAATAGTAGATTTTTTTGGGTATATTACCAGGAATGTCATTACCTCCCTTCACTTAGGTATTGTAACATTACCGGCGTTTTGGACTAAAATGTCCTTAAATTTTTATTTTTTTTTTTCAAAAATATCATTCTTCTGTCATTGAATAATAAAAATTCTACGAAGGTTAAATTACAAATTTATCCTTAAATTATTTTAGATTTACAAAAAAAAAGTCTATAATTAAAATTTTATATGAAGTTCAGTGGTTAAAAAAATTACCCTTTCATCAAACCTTTTTTATATTTTAATTTTGTAAAAAAAATTATATAAATATTATGAATTTAGTTTTTTTTAAGAAAATATATAAATATTTTACAATTTGTAATATTATACAAATATATAATAAGGACAATTTGGTCAAATATAAATTCCAATAATCTTTTATTCCTTTAACCAAACACGGTAATCTTACATCCCTGCTAAACCAACCAAACACAAAATACAACATTCCCAGTAATCCTATTCCCTGGTAATCTTTTATTCCCACTGATAATCTTACATTCCGTGAACCAAACGCACCTTAACGATTTGCTGCTGTCCAAGAAACAGAAATTATGTTTTAGAGCCTCTTCCTGAAAGCGGAACTCGTGAAAAATGAAGTTCTTCTCAACTTAAATATGCCAAAAGGTCTCAATAAAGCAAATTAATACAATTTTAATCAAATACCGATCTCTAATGCTTAACTAATCAAATTTAATAATGCAATTCCCGTATATCTCTAATACTTCAAGTTTGAGAGGGGGGGGGGGCAATTAAAATTTTAAAACAAGCTTTTAGACAAAATCCAAAACAATGAATAGGGAAAAAAAGGAAAATGTTAGTGGTTATTTCACATTTTTCAGCAATGAATAGGGAAAAAAAGATTATAGACCTAATTTTGATGCTGCATCATCCAGTCCAATCGTTTGAACGATGTAATGATTATACAATGCCAAAAAACTGAGACAAAAGAAAATATATAGTCAGAGATTGAGCAAGATCATATATAAGAAACTTCAAAGAGCTGTGAAAACATTTACTTGGAGCATAAAAGGCCGAGATATTTTCTTTGCGGCGGTAAAGAGATCGTGAATTAGATTCAGATTCTTGAGAAACAAGCGGAAACATTGACGTTTTCCCGAGAGACGAACAGAGAGAATCAAGTTAAGAGAGAAAAGAAGTCCAAAGGAAAATCGAATCTCTTTATGTTATTGTTTGGTCAGTGAGAAAGAGAGAAAATTCGATTGAGGGGTTTTCTTTTTCTTTTGCCTTTACGTTGGCGTTTTGGTTAATCCCGCGAATTCAAACTGAGATGAACCGCGATTTATATGTAATTACTCTTCTGTCCTTGCCTTCCGTTTGGGCTTATGAAATAAACTCGGTTAGAAGCATCACTTTTATAATATATTAATTATTAATTTTAAAAATGACCACCTTATTCAAAATCCAATGGTGTGATTATTCAATTAAAAAATCAACTGAAAGTTATGAATATAGTCAAAATAATATAAATATTTTAAAACTATTGTTTATAATTAATTGGGTTTAAATAATATATACAATAAGTTGATTATTTATATCAAATAAAACCAATGTCTATATTACAAAAAACTTTTAATTAAAAACATATATAAATCATATGCTCCTTTATTTTTACTTTCTCTATCATTCTTTCCGAGTTTAATAGACCAATAATAATAATTTTTACATGATAAAATATTTCAACATCTCACCACCTGAAGAAACAATATTTTCAATTTTCTTAAAATTTGGATAATAAAAAATCTTTTATTCGGATGATTTGTTGTAAAATCATATTAGTATCTTCATGTTATGTTTTCTTCTCTAATTGTCGTCGTTGTAGATGAAAAAATAAACTCATTTTAATTTTAGGGTTTTATCTTCTTAAATAAAACCTATTAATATTTATATTTCCATGTGTAATGGTGATTTGGTAATCACAAACACGTCTGAAATTTTTAAAAAGTTTCATATCATCGGTGTCGTTAAAATTTTAACGATGAGTGATTAAAATACAATTTAAATTGAATGTTAAGTATATTTTTCTTTTTGAAAAAGTGAGTGATCGAAACAGAACAAAGGTGATAGTTGGGTGACTAAATATGTAGTTTACCCAATAAAATATACAATATAATAAGAGTTAATTGCACCACATGTCCTCAAAGCATGAATCTCATTTTAAATTGGTCCATAAACTTTTAAATGTTCCAATTTCATATTAGTCCTCAAACTTTTGACATTTCAATTTCATCCATAAAATATGACATTCATTCTAAGTTGGTCCTCAAACTTTTTTAATATTCCAATTTCATCCCAAACTATATGTATATAGTAATCACATTCTTTGTTAATAAAATCATTAGGCCAAGTTATATTATTATATGTTTGAAAAAAATAAAATTTAGGTTAAACTATGGTTGAGACTAATTACATATTTGGATGAATTTGGGGATGAAATTGGAATATTAAAAAAATTGGAGACCAATTTAGGAAGTGGATCATAGTTTAGGGATGAAATTAGAATATTTAAAAGTTGAAGGACTAATTTAAAATAAGTCATAGTATAGAGATGAATTGGAATATTTAAATGTTTAAGGACCAATTTAATATAAAAGATATAGTTTGGGGACATATGATTCAATATGACGAAGCAACAGATAAAATACCATCTGGTTTCAAACAGTGATAGTAAACCTTGGCCATAGTGATACAGAAATTGTGTCTCACTCCAGTCATCCAAGAGAAAATGTTACCTTCTACGTCCCCAAACCCCCCTTTGTCTCTCCCATCAACAACCCTAATTCATCCTCCTTTCCTCTCCCTTCAATTCCCCATAACCACTCGAAAACTCCGCAAACATGTCTTTCTTATCCGGAGCTCCATCACCCGACCAGAGAATCAAGCCGCCCTTCCTCAGTCTGCCATTCAGCGGATTGCTGACAAGCTCCGGTCACTGGGGTTCTCTGAAACCCGGAACCCGGAACCTGAATCCGAATCTAGGTCAGGTTCCCCCGGGGAAATCTTTGTCCCTTTGCCTGCCAAGATACCCAAGTACCGGGTCGGACATACGATTGATACAAGCTGGAGTACGCCGGAGAACCCGGTGCCCGACCCTGGTTCGGACCCGGGGAGCTTGATGGTGAGGTTCAGGGATATGAAGAGGGAGAGAAAGAAAATGGGGAGGGTGAAGGAGGAGGAGAGGGTGATTCCGAGTTTGGCGGAGCTGAAGCTGTCTGCGGCGGAGCTCAGACGGCTGAGGTCAGTGGGAATTGGTGAGAAACGGAAGTTGAAGATTGGAAAGCTGGGATTACAGAGGGAATGTGAATGGGATCCATGAAAGGTGGAGAAAGAGCGAAGTGGTTAGAATTGTTTGTGAGGATATTTGTAAAATGAATATGAAGAGGACTCATGAGGTTTTGGAGGTTTGTTGATTTCCTGTTGCATTCATCCATCAATTTAATTGTTTTTCCTTGCTTTTGAAGTTTTCATTTTGAATTGCATTAAGGTTTTTATGTCATGTGAATGAATGTAAATATGGCTGAGCCTAGACTACCAAATTTGATGTAATCCTTTCCCATCTTTTAAATCCCATCTTTGTTTCAAAGTCTAAGAATTCAAGTGTTCCTCTGGATGTTGAATGATTTTCTTGGTGTCTTTTATTAATATACAGATACAAGTAGGATAGGCAAGTATATGAGATTGATTGTGATGGGCTGGTGGCAACTGGCAATATGGCTGAATTGTTGCAAGAGAAAATGTACATTCTTTCATATTTAGGATCGCTATATTAAAAGCTTTATCATCATTTCATTGCGATTCGACTATCTCGCAGTTTAATTCATCAGGAAATTATCCTCATCTTGTCACTATCCCTAAGTATCTTATGACAGGATTCTAATGTTGGGTTTTTGTATTTGATATTCAGAGAAAACTGGAGGATTGGTTGTTTGGAGATCTGGAAGTAAAATAATATTGTATAGAGGGGCTAATTACAAGTATCCTTATTTCTCAGCTGATAAAATGGGAACACAAAATTCTTCTTCCAATGGCTCACCAGATACAAACATGGATAATAAAGAATTCCACGAAACAGAAAGCTGCTCATCTGAATTAAATGGTGTAAAAACTTCTACCCCTAATGCAACCGACGAAATGACTAAACGAACGGTAATTCAAGGTGTTGGCTCTCCAAGTAGGGTAAGATTTCAACTGCCAGGTGAGGCAGAACTTGTTGCAGAAGCTGACCGCTTGTTGGATGGACTGGGTCCAAGGTTTATGGACTGGTGGGGTTATGAGCCTCTACCAGTTGATGGTGATCTCCTACCAGCTATATTCCTGGATACAGGAGACCCTTCCGCCTTCTTCCTTATGGTGTGAAGGCCCTGCTCACAAATGATGAAATGACCACTTTAAGAAGACTTGGCCGACCCTTGCCTTGTCATTTTGCATTAGGTAAGTCAGACTTCTAGTGTTTACCTACAGTAATTACGTGCATCCATTTTACTTTTGTTTCTGCTCCCATCAGGAAGAAATAGAAAACTTCAGGGGTTGGCTGCATCCATTGTCAAGCTTTGGGAAAAATGTGAGATTGCAAAAATTGCTGTAAAGAGAGGGGTACAGAATACTAATAGTGAAATGATGGCAGAAGAGTTGAAGGTTAGTAATAACTTGCACATGTTACTTCCCCTTTTAGTGTGCATGTGTGGCATGGTGGGCTTTTGGGGGCACCCTTTCGATGTATTGTTCTGTTTGGATGCTTGAATTTGGATTCACATGTGGCAAGCTATAGGTATAAGACTTGTCAAACATATATTATTATCCATTCTTACAGATAGAAAACATTGAATACTCTTTATGTTCATTAATGTTCAAGAACTTGTGCAGCTCGTTTGAATATTCATATTTGGTCTTCGTCAGAATATCATTACACAACTGGTTTGATAAGAGACTGAAACAGATTTGCATTGTTTTTCTTTTTTTCCCCAGTATTTTAGTGGACAAAGTAGCAAAAGTAAATGTTCTCATTACCAGAAATATTAATGAAATTCTTTAAAACTGTACTGTATTTCAATCAGATCTTTAACTTTGTCATTTTATTCTTCTTATTAGATGTTTTTCTTTTGATGTTACATGCTTCTCACTTTAACTAAATCTTTAGACCTCGATTGCTTGAAGTGTTGGTTTCAATATACCTTGAAAATCTCAACTGAACATTATACTAAATGCCTGAGTTTTTGCTTGAGTAAAATCTTAACTGTTAATCACGTTTGGCTATATCATGGAGGTTGCTCATTACACTAGAGCTCATTTAATCTAAAGGGTGTATAGGGAATTAATATTTGAACCTATTTGCTGCAGGTAGTTATTGAAATATTTATAGTTCTGTACTTTTTGGCATGGCCTTCTATTAATCAAAAGTACTTTGTTTCAGTGGTTGACCGGAGGAACTTTGCTCTCACGAGATAAGGATTTTATTGTCCTATATAGGGGAAAAGATTTCCTGCCTTCTGCTGTTTCTTCTGCAATAGAAGAGCGGAGAAAGCATGTAATTCATGCGGAGAATCACAATACAAAAACTATGAAGGAGAATGCTGAGGGTACTAAAATTGACTCTGAAAGTGATATCATTCGTGCTAAGGGTCGCAGAGGCAATATCTTCAATGACCGAAAGAACATGAACTCCACAGAAACAGCTGTTAGAAAGACTAGCTGGAAGTTGTCTATGGTACTATTTTGCTAAGATACTGCCTTTGGCTGATGTCATGGTTCAGTCTTAATTAATATAGCAACATTTCTTCCACCACAGGCACTAGAGAAGAAAGCAAAGGCTGAGAAACTTCTAGCGGATTTTGAGCATGAGGAGATCCCTCAACAATCTGAAATTGATAAAGAGGGTATAACTAAAGAAGAAAGATATATGCTTAGGAAGGTTGGCTTGAGAATGAAGCCCTTCCTACTATTGGGTGAGTAAGACCTTATAGTTCAAGCCTTTGATATCAAAATAGCGGATGCATCATTTATCCTTGAGGCAATTTAATGGGCACTTTCAAATTATTGTGTGTGTGTTTTAGATTATCTTCTCATTTCTGCTTAGGTAGACGGGGAGTGTTTGCTGGAACAGTCGAAATATGCATCTTCATTGGAAGTATAGGGAACTTGTGAAGATAATACTAAGGAGACAAATGTTGAAGCTGTTCATCAAGTAGCACAAATATTGGAGGCAGAAAGCGGTGGAATATTAGTGGCTGTGGAGAGGGTAAGCAAGGGTTATGCAATCATCTTTTATCGTGGAAAGAACTATGAGCGGCCTACTTGTCTCAGACCTCAGACGCTTCTCACTAAAAGAGAGGCAATGAAACGCTCTCTGGAGGTACAGCGTCGTAAGGTAAAATGAAGTTATCTTGTTTTATATTCTTCTTACACCCTTGAATAGCTTGCAGGCTCTAAGAGAAAAAGGACCTAAAAGACTCAAGGGGGGAGACTGTACCTTCTCATATTGTATTCCCTTCCCAAAGTTTTAGGCTTCTCATTCTGTCTATGTTGATTTTTGCAGTCTTTGAAACTACATATTTTGAAGCTTACGAGAAACATAGATGAGTTGAAGCACCAATTGGTAAAATATTCAGTATATGTTTTTTCATGGGTTTGGTTTTCTACTTTTCCACAAACATCCTATAACTATCCGATCAATTTATATGAACTGTGTAAAACTGCTTTGCAACAGGTTGTAGACAAGGAAGCAAGTAGCATGCAACTGCTGGCCAATCAATATTGCCATCGGTGAGCTACATCATGCTTGCTATTTACTAGTGTATTTACTTTTTCCATGTAATTTATATTTTTGTCATGACGAAGGTTGAAGAGAAACAGAAATGTTAGAGTCAGTTGAAAGTGTCAAACTGCTTAAAACAGAAATGTTCCATACATCCTATAAGTATCCAATCTGTTTGTATGAACTGTGTTCAACTGCTTTGACACAGGTTGTAGACAAGGAAGCAAGTTGCATGCAAACTGCTGACCAATCAATATTGTCACTGGTGAGCTATATTATGCTCTATTCACTAGTGTATTTATGTTTTCCAAGTAATTTACATTTTCCCTCCACATTGAAGGTCGAAGAGGAAACAAAAATGTTACAGTCAGACAAATGTCCAAGATCAGATACTGAATCTTTTGCAACTCCAGGAAGGCATCTAGAGGTAGGTAGTTTAAGTCTGAAATGCATGAAAATCCAAAGGAGTCTACCATTGTTTTTCAATGTTTATCTCATTCCTTTAAACTATAAATTAGCACATGAAGACCTAGCTTTGTAATGAATGCTGGTGCAATAATGTTATTTGGAAGTGTCGTTGCACTGTCTTTTGTAACTTAAATGCATTTAGTTTATATAACATCTGAAATGGCTTCTGATGTGATTATGGAAGGCAAGAGACAAAGATGGATCTGAGTTGACTTCCATGAAAAATGATAGAATGGTTGCTGCAGTAAGTATTGCTGAACCTTCTGAACAAAAGCTCTTGGAACCATCTTCAACACATGATGGGATCGACAGTCATAAAGCAGAATCGGAGTCTTTGTCAGAACCTGTGAACAGAGGAAAACATAATACTGAACTGAGGTCTTTGCATGCTCAATTCGAAAGGGTTGGCCCCACATCTCACCTCAATAACCTTATGGTACGTGTTCTTTTACTTCTTTGTCGTTTAATATTCTTAAATTCCTTTTATTTTCCATGTCTTATGGCATACTTTTTGAGCAGGCAGAAATTGACTGTTGCGATACAGTTAATGCTGAGCTCCACATTTCAAATGATGGGCCAATGGAATCAATGGTTGAATCAGCCAACAAAAAATTGGATGTTTCAAATTTACTAGCAGTTGAAAATGTGTCTAATAAGATGGCTTCAACAGCAAAGTTTCTCTCTAACAAAGATAGACTTCTTTTACGAAAGCAAGCTCTCAGTATGAAGAAACGTCCTGTGCTTGCAGTTGGTGATTATCTCCAACTTCTATTGTATCCATTTTCCTGAACAACTGATTATGCTGTGAGCTTTATGGTTTTAACTTTACCGCAAGTAGCTGCAGCTATTAGAGCTCCATGTGTTCAGCTTTAGCTTGGGTTGTTTCCGTTTAAGGCACTCACTTTATCTGGAACTATATCCATGTTGAAGTGGCATTCAAAGTTCCATATTATTAACCATGTATTCTGATAGGGAAATGCTGCTCTTTCTTATGTACTAAAGATCTATGTTGCTCCAATCATTTTCATGAAGTACCGTGTTCTCCAAATGTGTAGAACATAGAAAATCTGATCATACCCGTGTCAGACACATACCCATCTCTAACATTCACATAATTCCGAGCAACATAGCTAGAGATATTAGACTATACATTCTGATCATTCCATCTCTTTCTCTCTCCCTCATCTTCAAGGTGATCAAGAGAACTTATTTTAGTGTTTTGCTCGCCTTACTTTCAGGGAGGAGCAACGTTTTGACTGGTCTGGCGAAAGCTATCAATGCACACTTTCGGAAACATCCTCTTGCTATTGTGAATGTGAAAGGGAGGGCTAGAGGGACCTCTGTGCAAGAAGTGGTGCTAAAGCTGCAGGTCTGCACTCTCAGATTCTAACTTCTTTTTACCTATTGTTTGGAAAGTAAGTTATTTCTATAATGAGAAAAGTTGTTGATATTAAATTCACAGGAAGCAACCGGTGCAGTTCTAGTGTCTCAAGAACCTAGCAAAGTCATACTGTATCGAGGCTGGGGTGCAAATGAAGAAGTGGCACATGGTGAGAAGAGGAAGGTAAAAGATACATCGGTTCAGAATCGTCCTGCTGTGTCCCCTGAGCTTATTGCAGCAATCAAATTTGAATGTGGCTTGCAACGTTGCCAAGAGGAACAGGAACTTTGATTTGCTGGAATTTTGAAGGTTTAAGCAGTATTTTGGTTATAGTTTATTAGCTAAATCTTCATTATTGCAGAGGCTCATTTCAAGCACCTGTTAAATTTGTTGGTTCAATTCAGAAGATCAACAATCAGCCTGTTATTGATATCTTGTTATGCAATAACCGTGTTGTAGGTATACTTATAAGTCTTCCAACCGGAATATAAGAACAAGTTGTCTCGATCCTGCTCTCTGCAGTCTCCCGTTATGTTCATCAAGGAACAAATCGGTGAGTATGTTTTCACAGCTTTCGAGCTAGTCACTTCCACATGCATAACGAAAGTAAATTCGGTGCCGGCAACCTTCTTGATGGTACAACGTTTGGGATCTTTTTCATGTCCCAATGTCGATAAAGCCGATAATTATGAAACATGGTTGATAATTGTTATTCAGCTTGTGCAATTAATAAGTCTTGCCTTGGCCCTGTGTAACGTTGTTAATCTTAAGACGTTGTCTTGCTCTGTTTATTTGTAACTATAATATTTCAGAAACTAGAGGAAAAAAATCCTTGTTTTATTTCAACCTGATTGAAGCATGTGTCATCAGCCTGATTCAATAAAGTATTAGTTTATTAGGGATGGTCATGAGTTGAGTTTCTGGCGTAATTAAATCCGACCTAAAAATTAAATATTTTCATTGGCATCTGATTTAATTTGGGTTAAGAAGGATTTTATCCGACTTGAAACTCGATCTGATTTTTTAGGTCGAAATTTATATTGGACTCAACATATATATATATATTATTCATTTTTATTAGATGAAATAAGGAATTTAAAAAAAATAAAAGAGGTATTATTGTAATCATCTTTGATTAATAAGGGATAATTATAATATTATTTTGAGTTGGAATGGGTTTTTTCCATCCTAAATTTGACCCTACCCTCCCCCTTAAAAAAAGTCATTCCGACTTGATTTAAACTCAATTTTTTAAAATAAAAAATAGACATGATCAAGTGAGGTCTAAATTTTTTTTATAATTAATCTGAAATGATTATAATGTAGTATATGTTTATATTTTTTTTTAGTTATTGTCAATGCACACACGCTTTGTAGATGCAATTGCTCGAACACAGGATCTCTAAGAAAAATAATACTATCTCTAGATAAAATAATGATCTAATTTTTAAAAAAATATAAAAGAAATATTATTGTAATTATCTTTGAATAATAAGGGATAATTATAATATTATATCATATTGTGTTTTTTCATCCTAAATGTGACCCTATCCTCACCCTTAAAAAAATCATCCCAACTTGATTCAAACTCAAATTTTTAAAATAAAAATATACATGATCAAGTAGGGTCTAAATTTTTTTTAAATAGTCTTAGGTGATTATATTATAATATATTTTTTATTTTATTTCTTTGTTATTAATAATGTACACACATTTTATAGATGTAGTTACTCGAACACAAAATTTTTAATAAAAATAATATTCTTTTTAATCATTGATACGGGTTTAAAAAACATCAATATTTACATTGATGTAAATTAATTACGAGAACAATCCAACAATTAACCTTTGTGAAATAAACAATCCTTAAAGATCAATTCTGATGGTTTAATTCTGAATAATACAACTCAAAGTTAAACCCAACAAATGGTTAATGGCTGAGACACAAACTGATGAGTGGCTTATGTAATTTGCTGTTTGATATTTTCATTTTCACAAACAAGTGGTAGACAGAGAGCCCTCGAAAGTTTTCGTAAACATTTTGAAAAACCCAAAATCAGATAATCCCACGACTCAATCAAATATCCCAGACTATAAAATTGCATACTTCAATAACAAAAAGTAGAGATTAAACTTTAGTTTCCTTTGCAGTTAAAGCCATGACTCTTCAAGCAAGTTCCTTTAAGTTTGGAGGCATTTCTCCTATTCTTTCTCTTCCAAAAACTTCCCCTCGCCGCTTTGTAATCAGAGCTAAAGGTATTGGCTTTGCTTGTTTTGATGGATATCCACGTTTTGTATCACCGTTTTTTAGCTATGATTTGATGTATTTGAGCTGCATTTTTGGTTTTTTTGCCTTGGGGTTTCAATGTTATGTGATTATATGAGTTAAAGCTTCTCCCCTTTTTGTTTTTAGCTTGAATTTGATGAATTGGTGCTGCACTGCTGGTTATCTGTTTAATAAAATTCATGGGTTTTCAATATTATGTGATTACGTGAGTCGAATTTGTATCTTTTTTGTTAATTTCTTTTGGGGTTCCTTGGTTTTGTGTTTCAGTTGAGCCATCAGAGAAATCTGTAGAAGTAATGAGGAAATTCTCGGAACAATATGCTCGTCGTTCAGGCACATATTTCTGTATGGATAAGGGAGTGACTTCTGTTGTTATCAAGGTATTCTTTAGACTCGGCTCTTTAATGATTGAACTGAGTATCCTTACTTTGCATCTTAGTTTCGAAAAATCTTTGCAAACGAGTCATTATCCGGTTTTGATCCTACCCTAATTGAAACATTCTTAGGGCTGAATTGCAGAAGATTCACCCTCTAGTCTTTCTGCTATTATGGCACCTCAAAAAGCTTCACATATTAGTCTTAAGAGTTAGATGTGAAGAATTGTATATGGTTGGTACTTGGCAATGGAAACTATATGATATCCTTTCAGTTGCAAGGTCTTACTTTTAGCTAAGAAATTGTGTTAGAGCTATTATTTTGGCTGTATTTAATATGCTTGCACCGAAGTTCAAGGGCCAAGTACCTAGTTATGGCATCAATAAGCGATGCCATGCGAATGGTAATTCAAAACTTTCCTATCATTCAGTGCCTTATCCAAGACCGTCTCAAGCAGAGACATTAGTTACTCTTGATGAACCTTTGTAGTAAACTGGAATGAACTGAGTGATGCCTTTAAAACTAAACTAGTGCAGAAATTCTTTACTTCGACTCAGTTCCAATTGAGTTCTATTGGATATAGAACTGCACACGTTTAGGTGTCCTCCATTGGAGAAGTTGGGTTCAACAATTTTTAGCGCTTTGTATTCAAATGGACGAAAGGACTATAACTTGTCCATTCATAAACAGGAAGATAAGTTGAAGAATGAATAAATGCTATACTTCAATGTTCCAACTAATCCATGCCTTAGTTGGATCTACTTGAATGTGATGTATTTTCCTGAATGTTGGATTTGTTGTGAAATCTAACTCCTACTTGAACATAGCCTAAACCTTGTTCTATCTCCGACACTTCATTAAATTCATCAAGTCTACTTATCTTTTCAGTTCATGATAAATAAAAACTCATTTCGGATATTTGGACAGGGATTGGCCGAGCATAAAGATACGTTGGGTGCCCCTCTCTGCCCTTGTAGGTAAATCATTTCCTTTGTGATCCCTCAACCTTGCTCCAAATTTTAAACCCAAGTTACACTATCTTGATATATATAGCATTATACGATTCAATAACATGTTAAATTTAATTCCAAATTATTACAGGCATTATGACGACAAAGCTGCTGAGGCAGCGCAGGGGTTTTGGAACTGCCCATGCGTTCCTATGAGAGAAAGGTGAATACATTTTCACGATATCTTTTAATGTATAATCCTCATGCAAATTGGTCTCACTGCTTGAGTTGTGTGGGAAGTCCGGGAGTAGATATAACTTTTGATTCATCCTACGGAAATGGAGTTGATAACGACCTTTCAAAAAGGTGACTGGTGCTAATGTTATTCGCGTAGAACCTTCTGATATCCCTTATATAACAATGGCTGCTTGTCACTTTGCTGATTATTGACTTAGTGGAAGCTTCTGAACTGGGGCTCACTCTCCCGATGAACTAGTTAGTTTTTTCATGAAATTAAGAGCAGAACTTTACTGTCATGATTGAGATAGATTCCAAAGTACTTTCGACAGATAGTTGTAGCATTGGAGGTATTAAGTGGGTAAGGATTTTCATGATACTTTCACAACTCAAAAGTAATTGTACATCAGGCTATTACATGGGCAATGTTCTTAATATCAAAATAATATGTTGAAAAAGAGACTTGGTACAAAGTAAAACGGATTTATGTCGAGGTTGATATTGTCTTTGGAACATAAGATTTCGTTTTGTATCATTGTTAATATTGGTGGCTAAGGATGTTAAGTATTTACTTGGATTTGAGTTCTGATTCATGGACTTGTACTTTTGTTTCTTGCATTTTGGCTTGTACAATGAAAACTTCAAGCTATATTTCTCTTTTTTCGAAGGCAAACAGACTTTGGAACCAAAAAATCGAAGAACTGCGTTGGTGTGTCGTAGTCTTTATTCTTTCTGATAGCAGGGCAAGTTATTGTATGGTTTGAAAGTTTGCACTTCATATTATCAATGATAACAGTTAAAGCATTTCTTTGTTGGAGGCTGTCGCCAAAGCTATGCTTTTCCGACTTCATTTTTCTTGAAATACTTGTGTCGGAAATATTATAAGACATGGATACGAGGATATGACCCTTCAAGGATCCTCCAAATACATGGTAAAACTTAAGAAAACGTTGAACATACTTGTATTGAAACACATTTGTCCTGCACTAAATGCTCTTTCTTATTGGTTTCTGATTTTATTAGTTTAATCTATATTTCTCTCATTCAATGTATACAACTATTTTGCAGGAAAGAATGCCACTGTATGCTCTTTCTCACTCCAGATAATGATTTTGCCGGCGAAGATCAGGTATTTATTTCGGTTCCTAAACCTTTTTCCCCGGCCATACTCACTCATGCAAAAGCAATTAAACTACTTGGCCGGTCCTTGTACTATAGGTTTAGGAGTGAATTACTTGGTGATCGTCCTACTTGAGTCTATAGTATAGGGACTTGCCAGGTAGTTTAACCCAAGTCGGAGTAACATAGTTATTCTTCGTATTCAGAATTATATGTATATATTCTTGCTGTGCAGTCCATCACATCGGAAGAAATCAAGGAAACAACGGCAAACATGTAGCTCTTGAGTTTCACTTTTCTAAACAGAAATGAGATGAAAAACCAACAGAAATTGTATCTGTATATCAATATGGCAATCTTTCTTTTACCTCCTATATGATCAGGAATTACAGTAGTTAAACTCTTTGTATCCATGTTTTATCGACATATTATATTTGAATTGTTCATGCAGTACGTGCACATGTGACATAATTTCGATTTGCATGTTTGAATTTAATGGTCAAGTAGACGACTAGGCTGACGGAATGACCTATTTGATACTTCGAAAATTCTATTAGAATGCTTTGAAATTTGGGACTAATTTAAATTCTAAACCATAGTATGAGGACGTCTGTGCAATTAACCACTAGAATATATAAAAAAACCTTTCAATTATACTATTTTATTTACATTTTTAACGCCTAAATAAACCATATTCTTTTAATTTGCACCCAAACAAGTCATTCTTTCATGTGAAATGTTGATTTATATCAAGGATATATAAATATTTATGTATACAATAAAAACTTGACTAAAAATTTCAAATAAAATTTGAATTATTTATTAATTTGATTAACGCAATTTTTTGAATACTCACGCCTACTCACCCCTTAAAATTGTAGCTGTACAGCAGCTCCGCAAGCAACAATTTCATCAGGGTTGATATATTCTAGAGCATTTAATTATCAGTAAATTACATAAATGATTACTAATGTTCGAGTAAATTTTTTTTCTTAATTGAAGTTTTAAAAGTAATAAATTAATCACTAACGTTATCGATTTATAACAAATCCTCGACCATTAAAATCGTTATTAGAGTAACATAATATGATGTGGCATGTGACTAACTCTTTTTACCTCATTTGACCACGTGACATCATTTTAACCTGTTAAGAGTTCTTTTAATTCTTATTCTAAACAACCATGGAGATTTCTGACAGAACCTTCACACACCAAAAACACACGGTAATTTCAAATCTGCGATGATTTTTATGCTCTGGCTAAGAATATGCTATGATTCGATAAAAGACAAGTAAAATATACGATACGCCTTCTGCGAAACCAATTGTGATATTCGTTCTCTTTCTCCAATCCAATAGAACCTCACCGGCATACTGGCGATGCAGATGAGACAGCAGGCTAATCATAAATGATGAGCCGTTAATCGGTCCCGACTAACCTTGTATGTCAACACTGCCGAAGCTGCCTTCTCCGAGCTTGTTATTATCACTTTATCAGAGAAGCCATTGGTGGCAGAATGTAACTCTTTGTATGTAAACATTCTCCATGTTGTATTCCCTGTGTAGACACTCATTTTCGTCCATATTTTTTTATTATATAGTTTCTTAAAAACGTTTTGAAAATACGTATAATATATAGTTTTTAAAAAAACATTTTAGAAATTTATATTATATGTTTTGAAAATATTTTTATATATAAGTATTATTATTATTATTTATTAATTATATTATATTATTTACAGGCCTCGGTATATTTGAATGTGTGGCAACCCGAGGTTGTGCGTGGATGGTACAATAACAGATCAGGATTGAGTCATCAAGTCCGGGGAACTCAAGGCCGAAGATCACCCACCTAGGCGAAAACTCAATAACTTTTAATGGATAACTCAAGAAGCCACGTTCCCTTTGCGCAACGGGATTTCTTTCCTGTCATGCAAGGACACGTCCCAAAATGGTGCCATGCATGAGGGACCCACGATGAATGGTTACAGGTTAATGAGTCTCTGAATGCTTGGAAAAAAAGGAGTTGGCTCCTAGTTTGTAGGAGAACGTTACTTGCAGTTGAAGACCACGATCCCGAGAATTCTTCTTCTCGTAGCCTTTTTATTTGTTTAAAATCTCCAAACATCGAGAGGAAAAAGGGGGGACGTGAATATTAACTTCTTCTCTCTTTGATTGTAAAAGGCTCTTAGCTTTTAATATCTGAAATGGTCGGGGTCGATGAAAGCGGTGGAAGCGAGAGCGAAGATCAAAGCACCGATTGAAAGATAAGGACGCGGTTTTAGAGGAAGAAAACTGGAAGGGGGCCGATCAAACCGTCGTATGATCAACATATTTCCCGATGGAGTTAGCTCGATCCGCGTATCGGAAGAGAACAATGGCACCGCTCTCATCAAACACTCTCAACACTGCTCGGTCATAACTCGACGACAAAGTTCCCCTTCGACCAGCTTCAACGACTGCCCAAGAAGTCTAAACGAGACACAGAAGCCTCAAAATCTCATTCTCCTTTCTTAGCCCCAACATGCCTCGATCCCTACTACTCACTCGTCGATAAAGTCAGCTTTGATGTGGGATCCAGACCACACTGGTAACATTTCTATTTTTGTTTTGCATGGATGCTGATCTGGATTTTATGACCTCGGTTGTTGGAATTCTCTAGAAACAGTTGAGCAAGAGAACAGACCTGATTTATTTTATGATGTTAAGTATTCCCTGCGCCTTTGCCTCAAGGAAAAATGGATGTGTGCCTGTGTTCATATATATAGCATGATGGCAATGTATGAGGAAGATGTTGCTCTTGCTCTGCAGAATAAATGTTTGCAGATTAAACATGTTATTTGTCCATGTGGCGTATAATGGTGATTGATCCAGAGCTAGTAATGATGATAGAGACTTGAGAAAGAAGCTTTTGACTAATGGTTGCCAAGCATGTCATTGAACAGGAAAAGAGCACTAACAAGGGAATGTTTTAAATTGAATTGCAAATGCAAAGGCTCCTGTACACGTGAAATAAAACAAAACCCCATGTGACCAAGGATTTGGGTAAATTCTCCATATGGTCCTTCAATCATTATGTTTTTATTTTATTTTATTACTTTTATTTATTTTATTTTTTTATGTTATTTTATTTTTTCCCTTTGATTTTTTTAATATTTATTTTAATACTTCTTATCAAATATTTTCGACATTTTTAGAAGAATGTCAACCAATCAAAGATAAGTAATTGGAATCGGGTTTTTAATTTGTAATTTTTAATTTTCGCAATTAAGACAACCGACAAATTAATTGGTACCGAAAGGACGGTTCAAGGGTGCTAATCTTTCTTTGACCGTAACCGACTCCCGAGCCCGACATATTTCTGGTAAGACGCATATCAGGTAAGAAATAGGGTATCCGATCAACCCATTTATTTTTAAATAAATGATCGGTGGCGACTCCAATCCATTTTCCTAAGTCGAAGCCCAATTCCGGGGCCCAACCCGAAAGACAGTTGCGACAGCTTGGCGACTCCACTGGGGACAGGTAAGTGAGTCAGGCCAGAATTAATTTCCGGTTGTCTTTTTATGCGAAAATTGTAAATTTTAATTTTAATTTATTTATTCGGTTCCAATTATTTACCTTTGATTATTTTTCAAATAAATAGTTGTACTAACATTTTTTAATGATTTCAGATTTTTCAAAGTTTTCTCAGGCTCTATACCAGAGCTCCAAACCCGTTTTAAGTGGGGGTGAAAGCGACGCCTTCGTGTGAATTTATTCACCGTATGGGCCTAGAAAGTAGCCTTCGGGATTCATATACCTTATGCCTTCGTGTGAATTTATTCTCCGTATGGGCATAAGGGAATGTGTCCTCTCGAGTTTAACTTAGTCCACACAAGCCTGTGATGGGCTTAGGACTAAGGGTCTGGCAAACCCAAGGGGGGCACCGGCAAGGAGAACTCGAGTACCTTTTTAGAACCTAAACCAGGAGAGTGCAGGGAATTAGAGCCCACCCCAAGACCTCATTCCAAACCCTAGGATGCTTTGTTTCCTGCTTTATTTTCTGTTCTAAGCATGCGAACTAGACAAATATGCGGTTAGGATTTGTTTGAAATTAGCATGCGGGATAGATATCATGTCCGGGTAGGAATTAAAGCATGCGGAGTAGATATCATGTGGGGCAGGATTTTTCATTTTTTTTATTGTTTTGATTTACCTCACTAACCCTTTTATTTTTTTGTTCTCTTTTATTTTGTGTTCATCGTTTGCATCATTTAAAACGATGTGTTGATCCACCAAAAATGTGTTTGTTAAACATGAATAATTTGTATTAATGGACAAAGGGGTTATAATACAAAGAGATAAAAAGCTCAGAAGTCCAGCCGTGGTCAAAGAATACTCAGAGGCAAAGGTTGCAGGGGCAAGACGAGGAAAATGTTGCTGGCCCAGAAACTCATTTTGAAAACTACGATAACAAGTGGCGGAACCCCAGCTAAGCTGCAGACCATTATTGATGAATTCCAAAAACAAGTCGACAAACTTCGGATGGAAGGCTCCAAAGACACTTTCGTTTGGAACGAGCTCGGCATAGAGTGAAGGCCGGAGATGCAGTCATTCGAGATCTTTTTTGGGGCAAGCAACTCGTCACCCGCACAAGTTTAGCCAAAGGAGCTGGAACGGTTCGACAGGATATTCAACCGGTGAAGAAGCGGAAGACGAATCAACTTGCCAGAGGCTGTGCGGGATCTATACCATCAAAAAGTTTTTTGTCTCTTCAGACGTAACATTTTTGTCCCCAATAAGGATTATTCAGAATAATAGGCACATTTTTCGGATCAATGCCTCGGACATTTCATGCTTCATGCATTTAAACATTTTGCATTTTGTTCATTTCTTTACATTCACATTAACTATCTTCACATGATTCATCAAAAAATGAGAACACTTCGACCCTATGACATATAAGGAGCTTTACCAACATTTGTTCGACGCACATGTGGTGTCACCATATCCAGAGAAATCCATGAAGCCCCGTACCCCAGGTAGTATGATGAGAACGCTCATTGCAGCGGAGTCCCAGGGCGCACTATCGAGAATTACTCCACAATCAAGAGAATCATACAGAAAATACGTAACAAGAATCGGATCGACTTCAACAACTTGGGGGCATCCAAGTGAGGAAGACCATTTCATCATTTGAGACATTTTGTTTGAATTTGTTTTTTCATTTCTCAAGTTTTTATAAGGACTTTTAAATAAATTTATGTTACGTTAAAGATGTTAAGCAATGGATCACATTTGCAAACTTGCAATTCTTTGAATATCATTTGAATTAAGAAACTCTGTGAATGGTTCAAAGTTACGGATCTTTGACAAAGTAACATGTTTTAAAACAAGGACCTTGACCTTACCCAAAATATACCCTCAAACACCGTACCCTGCTCTTACAATTAACTAATACAACC